ACTAGCCGGCTTTTAAAAATGGCGGCGCCGGCTTTATGCTAATGAAGCCCGGGAAATTCAAATCCCGGGCTTCATTAGCAAGTTCGGTATGCATACATTATCCCCCTAGTTCGAACTAGGGGGGTAGTGTAGACATACCCCTAGAGAATAGTTTTTCCTAATATCCAACCTAGACCTGTCCCACTGTTACTTGAGACCATTGCTCCTTGTTCTGCCATCCATCACTACTGAGAACAGCCTCTCTCCATCCTCTTTGGAACCTCCCTTCAGGAAGTTGAAGGCTGCTATCAAATCCCCCTGGATACAACATTGTTTTTAAATATTGTGTCTGGCTTATCACATTGTTAAGCACAGAGACCAAGGCCATGTTTACTTTGCACCTGACTGTGCTCTGAAAACCCCAAACTCTAGTGCTGTGAAGTGCCAGTGTAAACGGGCTCTCAGAGCCGTTAGCTGCTCCCCTTGTTGAGGTGGTTTACACAGAGGGCTGGGGGAGCTCTCGCCATGGCCCTATTTTCACCCCCATCATAAGTGTAAGAAAATCCCAAGGCTTTCAGACACTATCAGTGATTTTTGGGGGGACCCACTTTAAGCTCCCTTAAAGGGGCTGATTTCCAGCAGGTGGGACTCAGGGCCATGCGGATGTCACCTTTTCGGCTGACTCAGGGTGGGCCACGGTGGAAGGTTTGGCTAGCAGTGTTTGTGCCACTGTTGCACCTCTGAGTGAGGTCAGCTGCAGGGGTACTGCTCCTATTACACCTGAGTCGGCCCCCATGCACACCTGCTATAGCTTGTGTTGTTTTCAAAGCAACATAAATGGTACACGTGTCAATTTTGAACTGTGAGGCTCATCAGCCATGGGGAAAATGATCAAGAGTCAGGGGGGAGTCTCCACTAGTTAATTTTAAAATCCAGGGTGGATGTTTTTCTCAGAGAGATGCTCCCAGTCAAACAGGAGTTTTGGGGGCAGGTCTCTCGGCTCTTTGGCTTCCTGCAGAGGTGTTAACGTCTGTTCACAAGATGCCCACGTAATTCTTTGGGCTTTCACCTTCTCCGCTGGTTTAGTCCCACTGATACCAGCTCCCACCTGCTCAGAGGTCACTTCCGGATGCTCTTTCCCAGTTGCCTCGTGTCCTTCCCCATCCGGCTGGGCCCTGGTGCCCATCGCTCAGCAGGGACAAGAGACCCCTCAGCAGCCTAGAGAGAGGAAGGATTGGTGGCAGTTAGCGCAGGGCAAACAGAAGTGGCTGGAGCTGGGTGTGGAGCACAGAGCAAGTGGAGGCTTAGCAGGTGGGAAGCCCCATGGAGCTCCGTGGCAGATGTTCTTTGGGGGTGAAATTCACCCCTGGGCAGAGGGTCCCACATGAGGTGCAGGCCCCATTTATTTCCCTCTTAACTCCAGAGAGTCAATTTCCCCCTAGGGGAGCTGGGTCCTTCTCAACAGGAACTGGAGACCAGGGTGGAGACAAAAGATTCAGGCTCCTCCAACATCCCAGGCCCCCAAACACTCAGTGACCTTTCCCCCTGGCCCAGCTGTGCCTTTAGACAGCGGCTGCCTGGGTGAGGTGAGAGGGGAGATCTCAGTGATCTGTTCAGACACAAACAAGCAAACCAGCCCCTTCCGTTCTCAGTCCTTCAGCCCTAAATAGAGACGCTGTGGCCAGTGCGGGGTTGGTGGTGTGGGGCAGGAAATGGGAGCGGTGACAAATATCAGCCCTGAGGAGGCGACAGAGCAGGGCAGAAAGAGGCTGCAGCATCTCTGCTGCCTGAGCCCCGTTGCTCCCAGGGGGGTTGGGAGCAGGGAGTGGGGCCGACTGAAACATCCAACCTACAGTTTCCTTGTACCTCTTGCTGCCCTCGCACTGGGTAGGGTCGATAGTGTCTGGTCGCTGTGTCTGTCACTGGCTCTTGTAAGGCCTTTGCACAGAGTCCTGGTGCAGCCTGAGCAAACTGGGGCGAGAATGATTCTGACCCAGGGGCAACATTTCAGACTGGGGGAGTGACCTGTGCATGCCATGATGGGGAATGGGAGGAGAGTAAAAGCATGGGAGGACTGAAGGCAAAGGCTTCCGCAGTGTGACTGAGCATGCTCAGTACAAGCCAAGCACCAATCGGGGGGGAGGGAAACCAATGCTATACGCCCTCCCCCTACCCACATTATCTGTCTCCAGGGGTTACTAAGGCCCTGGAAAACTACTTTTTTGGCAGACAACTTAGCAGTTAGCAGACAGGAGCGCGGGATCTAATTCCTACATAAAATTAAGAAAATTAAATAAATATTAGACCCACTCGGCTCGAACACTAACATGTTCTGACAGCTTGTGGCAAGTCACTTAAGGGCACTGGTGAGTCCAAACATTCTAATGCCGACTCTTACGTTGTTACTAACTCTGTGGAGAGAGACAGGCCCCCTCAGGACTCCTGGGCTCTCTCTCAGCTCGGGAAGGGGAGAGGGGCCTAGTGGGTTACAGCAAAGGGCAGATACAGTTCAGCTCTATATAAGCACATCAGACTGGTTATACTGGGTCAGACCATACTTCTTTCTAGCTCAGTGTCCGGTTTTCTGACAGTAGCCAATGCCAGGTGCTCCAGAAGGAATAAACAGAAGGGGCAATCATCAAATGATCCATCCCCTGTCGTCCATTCCCCGCTTCTGGCAAACAGACGCTAGGACACTATCCCTGCGCATTTTGGCTAGTGGCCATTGATGGACCAACCCTCCTTGAACTTCTTTCATTCTCATTGGAACTCTGGTATAGTTTGGGCCTTTCTACCATCCCCTGGCAAAGTGTTCTACAGGGTGACTGTGAAGAAATAATTTGTTTTGTGTATTTTAAATCTGCTGCCTGTAAATTTAATTGGATGAGATTCTTACATTAGTGTAGGAATTAATAACATTTCCTTATTCTATTTTTCCACACCTTTCATGATTTTCTAGACCTCTAACATCTCCCTCCACCCTTTAGTCATTTCTTTTCCAAGCTGAAAATTCCCAGTCTTCATCTCTCCTCAAATGGATGCTGTTCCTTACCCCTAATTATTTTTGTTGCCCTTTTTGTACTTTTTCCAAATCCAATAGATCTTTTTCTAGATGTGTTGACCAGCTCTGCATACAGGATTCTTGAGGTGCCCATTCGATGACTTTAGGGAGAGGCAATATGGTATTTTGTCTTCTTATCTATTCCTTTACTACTGACTCTCAATATTTGGTTGGCTTTTTCGTTTTTAAACTGACACTGCACATTCAACAGATGTTTTCAGAGAACTAGCCACAAGTATTCCAAGATCTCTTTCTTGAATGGTAACAGCTGTTTTACATCTATAGTTAGGATTATATTTTTCCATGTGCATTTCTTTGCATTTACCAACATTTAATTCCATCTGCCCTTGTGTTGCCCAATCATCCAATTTTGTGAAATCTCCTTGTAACTCTGTGCAATCAGCTTTGGATTAATACCTGTTTTACCCCTTGTTCAAGAACATTTGAAAGTTTAACAAAGTAATCTAAATGCAGACCCCTGCAGCACAACACTCATTCCTACTCTTCCCCACCTCCGTATCTTTTAAGTGGAGTTCCCTGTGATGTTTTCATGATGATCTAACTGATCCTTCCATTACTGGAATGCCCAGTCTTTTGTTGTTCTTAATCACCCTGCCTCCCTCTATTAATAAAAAAACTCCCTAATCCAAAGGCAAAGCTGCAAGCAGCTCAAACTCTGTTGCATTTAAGAGCTGCCTCTGGTGTCAGGGCATGCAGCATTAAGCAGACTTCAAGTATGAAATCCAGGGGGTTCAAACTCAGGGAGGTGGGCCTGGCTTTACCCTGGACAAAGGGTGGAGCCTCCCCAACAGCCTCTACCCTTAGGCCTTACTTCAGGGAATGTGCTCCCTGCAGCATGACCTCCTCCCTCCCTTAGACTGAGGCCTCTAGGAGCTTCCAGTTACCCAGCAGCTGCTCTGTGGCTACTGCTGGCAGCCTAGTGCCACACGCTGCTTTGCAGATGTCACAATGTCCCTTTCTACATTGCAGATCTGCTCCTGGCCCTCACCATCTGGGCCGTTCGAGGCATCCTGGTCCTACTGCTCCTCGTGTCTGCGCCCATCATCACCTTCATGCTGAAGAAATGTGGCCTGCCCCGGCCTGCGGGGCTGGAGGAAACGCATAGTGGGAGCGCCAGCATTTTGCAGAAGCAGAGGAAGTTAAGCAGGGGGCCTGCACAAAGTCCTCCAGACAGCCCAACGAGCAGTTCGTTTTATGAAGCCCCCTTAGCCCAGGAGCCTGAGCTGAAACCAGTAAAGCCTGTGAAGGGGGGAAGGGACATGGCTCCATGTGCTGCCAGTTCCCCCCGCCCCCCAGGCTGGAGCAGCAAACGCTGGGAAACTCCGTCTGTGCGCTTGCCTCGCCTGCAGGTTCTGGCCCCGCGGCTCCCCTTGGCCGGGAATCGTGGCCAAGGGGAGATGCAGGGGGTGGACTCTGGAGGCATGCGCAGGGCAGCTCACAAAGACCCCTACACCCTCCTTGCCCCAGGGCCTGCGCCACCAAAGGGGAGATACCTCAGGTACATGCCCTACCCCTAACCCTCTGCCCCAGCTGTGAGCTTCCTCCTGTACCCCAAACACCTCAGCCTCACCCCAGAGCCTGCACTCTGGATCAGAACCTTCATTCCCCCACACCGTAGGAATGCACTGTTTACTTTCAACAAGTTCTGGGATGGGTCCCAAGGCCATCCACCTGATACGGGAGTACAGAAGTGCTTGGGAAGATCACACAGGTATCTATGTTGAATATTTACCACCTGCTAAAGCTAATTATTTGGCCTGGGAAATATATACAATGTATTAGCAATTAGCAATTTTGCCAGGTTCTCAAAACAATAGGTGAGAGTAATGTAGATCCGATAGGATATGAATGTTGGGGATATTCCTAACCTCGGAACCTCGGTGTAGACTGAAGCCATGGGAGGTGCTACGTACCAGCCACTGGGGTCCATCCGCTGTCCTTCAGGGGGTTCCCGACAGCAGGAGGGACATAAGCATTGTATCCTAGCCTAAGATTTTCTTAATAAGCATTGCATTTTATTCTGAAATCTGTTTAGGGTTCATAAGCATTGTACGTCCTCAGTAAGCTCTGCATTTTATTCTAAGATTTGCTTCGGCTTAATAAGTATTGTATTTTATTCTAAGGTTTGCTTAATAAGCCATGTACTTTACTATTAAGCATTGTATTTTACCTTAATAATTGCTTAATAAAGTCTTTAAGCCTTCACCCAATATGTGTGCTTATTGCCTCCAAACCCCTCCAGGGAAGAACCATTGCCTCTTGGCAACACAGGACTGTCCCTTCCTATGTGTTCCTCTGCACAAGGAAACTGACTAGCAGATCTACACTGTAAATAATCCCTGCAGTTATCTCAGGATAAATCCAGAGGGAGCACCTCTATTCCAGACTTAGAGACCCTCAGTCAGGGTGAATGTACGCTCTTTACACCTAGGGTACATTCACACAGCTGGTCGGCAGAGAGTGGCAGCCATTTAAATTTAAATGAAGCCGCGATTATGTAAATCGTGGCTTTGTTTCCCTATATCAGGTAGCCTAATTTACATGCCTCTGACGACAGAGGCGTGTAGTCTAGACATACCCCAAAAGGTAAACTAGAGGAAAAAAACCCCTCATGCACTGGAATAAATGTGTCCCGAAGGGCAGTTATCCTAGCCAGGCCTAGCCAGACAGAGTGGTGGGACATTCCCAAGGGCAGGTAGGCAGGCTCAGTGGCATAGTCAGCACAGAAGGTAACAACCCCAAGGGGATCTCTGTGATCTCACCCTTCACACCTCCCTCTTGACAGTTTCTTTGGTGTTTATTTTCTGATCAGTGTAAATTTCCCATCAGGAGAGTCACAGAAGGACTGGCCAGAGCACAGTGACTGGGGAAAGTCAGTGCAGGTGAGGGGGTGTTTCCCAACACTGGAAGGGCACATGCCCCCTTGGATCTCTCATGTCCATAGAAGGCCTTCAGCACTATGCACTTGGCTGCAGTTCACCCCTGGGAACGTCAGTGGGGCTGCCAGGGTTCCACTGTGGAGCTATTCATGTGCAGTTCTTAAAGTAGGACAGCAGAGATTTTAAACATCCTGAATGCTTGGCCCAGTGACAGCACCTTCCCATTCACTAGATGCACTTTGCCCCAATCCCAGTGAAAAACCCCATCTAACTTGTGTTGGCCCAGTTAATGATGCTGCCTGTGCTGTATTCCCTCTTCATTTAGCTCATATTGTACATTAATCCCGCCATCTACAGGCCAGGGATATATTTGCAACTGTGCAAATTTGTCATGGTTTTTATCTCTATCAAAGCTCCATGAAATTCTCCATCCTGCGGAGCTGAGTGCAGCAGACAGACTGTCCAGCAAACATCTCCCCTGCCATGAGCATCCACGTAACATCCCTGTGGCCTCCCCACAAAGACATCTCCTGACATTCAGCGTTAGGAAAGGGCTGGTTTCTCAGCAAGAAAATCTCTCTCTCCCATCATCTGGGTCTGTCCCTTCAGTTCTAACCCCCCTCTGACACTCCTAAACCAGCAGGGCACCTTGTCACATCCTCAGCTTAAAACAGGGATCTATTGGTTTCAACCTTCCTATCTCATTTGGGCTGGATTAAGCTCTTTGTAGGCCCTAAACACTCTCATTGTAGGCTCTTAAATTAGACTAGTGATTGGTGCTCGGTGGAACCCCAGGGTTCCACAAAGCGAAAGTAAGGGTTCCAGGAGAACCTGGCACTTCCCGCGCCCCCTCTTAAAGTGACAGAGACAAATTGCGGTGGGAGTCAGCATGGTGGGGGTAGGCAGCTCTGGCACTGACCTCTCCCAGCCACTGGGGAGGGCCAGGCCAACCTGCCCCAGCTCTCTTGGCCCAGCTCTCTTCCCCCCCCAACAAAGCCAGGCTAGCCCCAGCTCTCTTCTCCTGCCCCACAGCCACTGGGGGGTTGGGCCAGGACAAGGGTCTGCCTCCCCCTACGGTGTCCAGGGAGGGGGAACTGTTCTGGATCTTTGCTCCTGCCCCCGCGGGTACCCTGCTCTTGCCTTTTCCCCCCAGTATCCACTGGTCCTGGCTCTTTCCTTCCCCCAAGCCACCAGGGAGGGGGACCTGAGTGAGGTTGTGCCTCACTCTTCCCACAGCCATGAGGGGAATAACAGCTTGTTGTGTGGACGCACCTCTTTATTATTTCGGAATAATGTCCGTTATGCTGAAATAACACTGCTGTGTAGACAGAGCCATAGACTGGTGGATTTCTGGGTTTCATTCCCAGCTGTGTCACTGACTCATCCTGGGTACGTCTATACTACAACGTTAATTCGAACTAACTTAGTTTGATCTAAAGCCAGGTCACTTAACATCTGGGCTCTTCACAGGGGTGTTAAAAAAACATGCAAATCTGAAAGCAGGCATGGAAAAGCCACACACCAGTGTGTGAGCGGAGCCAGCATCTGACCCTACGATCACAAAGCTGCATGCGCAGCCCAGCAGCATCAAAGGCCTCTACAACATAAAAAAGCAACAGTATTGGAGGAAAAAAACCGGTAACCAGCACTGACGTTGCCAAACACACGTGCAGTAGGAAAAACTATGTAAGAATCTAGTGCACTCACCTCGCTGTCTCTGCTGCTCGCTGCATCCTTGCGGGGCTTGGCTGCCATTCCCTGACATTTCCCGATATCTTGGGTTCAAAGGCCCAGGTTTCTGCTCAGGGTTGGCCAGTGAGATGGGAAATGGTCTCTTTTCCTCCAGCAGCACATTTGGGGTGTGTTCACTACTGTGACTGCCCCTGCTCCCTCAGGGTATGTCTAGACTATATCCCTTTTTCAATAAAGGATGTAAATCAGACATATCAAAAGTGCAAATGAAGCCTGGATTTGAATTTCCCATGCTTCATTTGCATAATGGTGACTGCTGCTTTTTTTTAAAGTCGGGATTTTTCGAAAAAAACCAGCAGCCTAGATGGGGATCTTTTGAAAATAAAACGCTTTGTTGAAAGATCCTGTAAACCTCATTTTTTGAGGAGTACGAGATCTTTCAAAATAGGGTTTTATTTTTGAAAGATCCCCATCTAAACTGCTGGTTTTTTTTGTTGTTCTGAAAAAGCCCCGTTTCGAAAAAAAAGCGGCAGCCGCCATTATGCTAATGAAGCATGGGAAATACAAATCCCGGCTTCATTTGCACTTTCGCTATATCTAATTTACATCCCTTTATCAAAAAAGGGATTTAGTCCAGACATACCCTCAGTCACACCATGTATCAGAATGGGGTCCTGACATGAGAGGGAACCCTCTGACCTTCCCCCCACACTTCACTATCTTGATCTCTCTTGTGTAAGAGAAACAGGGAGGCCCCTGAATGTGCAAAGCCCAAACCCCACATCTGCCCGTATCCCAGCAGTGGGACTTATATGAAAGAGCCTCACCCCACATGGCATTTACACATGGAAACAGCTGGGGGAATCTCATTCCACTTTACAGAGGTCTTAACTCACCCGGCTTTCAAGAGTAACCCAACAATAACAATCCCCTGCGACCGCAACCCCACAGCAACAATCCAGTGTGATCACAGTCCATGCACTCACATGCAGCACTACAAAGGCACACCAGCAAGGGAGGCCCCAGAACTCCTAAAAAGACCCTTTGATAACACACCGGTGCACATGCAGCCCCACGATATGTGTTGCCTCAGTAGTTACAGAGAACCCTGTGGTTTCAATCCCACATGGAAAGTTTTCCAGTGCTCATGGAGGCACCTACACAAATAAATCAAAATGCTACTGCAGCAGTCACAAGCCTCCAAACAAACCCCTTTGTGCGCTGTCCTGGCGCAAACAATCCCACAATAAACCAGCTTGTGTGCTCACAAGCAGAGCTGGGTGACAGACCCTGGGCGTACAGTTTACTCGCAGAACAACGCAGCATCGGCCGACCTAAAACCATTCACAAATTTAACCTGAGCAGTTTTAACTGGGCAAAAGTTGATACATTTTGGGGCCATTACAACTGACTTTGGGCTCCCCCCATTCTCCTGGGTGACAGCTGGGGCTCCCCCACCCTTCCTGAAGTGACAGTTGGGCTCCTCCCATCCCCCCAGGTGACAGTTGGGCTCCTCCCCCACCCTTCCTGAAGTGACAGTTGGGCTCCTCCCATCCCCCCAGGTGACAGTTGGGCTCCTCCCCCACCCTTCCTGAAGTGACAGTTGGGCTCCTCCCATCCCCCCAGGTGACAGTTGGGCTCCTCCCCCACCCTTCCTGAAGTGACAGTTGGGCTCCTCCCATCCCCCCAGGTGACAGTTGGGCTCCTCCCCCACCCTTCCTGAAGTGACAGTTGGGCTCCTCCCATCCCCCCAGGTGACAGTTGGGCTCCTCCCCCACCCTTCCTGAAGTGACAGTTGGGCTCCTCCCATCCCCCCAGGTGACAGTTGGGCTCCTCCCCCACCCTTCCTGAAGTGACAGTTGGGCTCCTCCCATCCCCCCAGGTGACAGTTGGGCTCCTCCCCCACCCTTCCTGAAGTGACAGTTGGGCTCCTCCCATCCCCCCAGGTGACAGTTGGGCTCCTCCCCCACCCTTCCTGAAGTGACAGTTGGGCTCCTCCCATCCCCCCAGGTGACAGTTGGGCTCCTCCCCCACCCTTCCTGAGGTGACAGTTGGGCTCCCCCCATCCACCCAAGTGACAGTTGGGCTCCTCCCCCACCCTTCCTGAGGTGACAGTTGGGCTCCCCCCATCCTCCCAGGTGACAGTTGGGCTCCTCCCCCACCCTTCCTGAGGTGACAGTTGGGCTCCCCCCATCCTCCCAGGTGACAGTTGGGCTCCTCCCCCACCCTTCCTGAGGTGACAGTTGGGCTCCCCCCATCCTCCCAGGTGACAGTTGGGCTCCTCCCCCACCCTTCCTGAGGTGACAGTTGGGCTCCCCCCATCCTCCCAGGTGACAGTTGGGCTCCTCCCCCACCCTTCCTGAGGTGACAGTTGGGCTCCCCCCATCCTCCCAGGTGACAGTTGGGCTCCTCCCCCACCCTTCCTGAGGTGACAGTTGGGCTCCCCCCATCCTCCCAGGTGACAGTTGGGCTCCTCCCCCACCCTTCCTGAGGTGACAGTTGGGCTCCCCCCATCCTCCCAGGTGACAGTTGGGCTCCTCCCCCACCCTTCCTGAGGTGACAGTTGGGCTCCCCCCATCCTCCCAGGTGACAGTTGGGCTCCTCCCCCACCCTTCCTGAGGTGACAGTTGGGCTCCCCCCATCCTCCCAGGTGACAGTTGGGCTCCTCCCCCACCCTTCCTGAGGTGACAGTTGGGCTCCCCCCATCCTCCCAGGTGACAGTTGGGCTCCTCCCCCACCCTTCCTGAGGTGACAGTTGGGCTCCCCCCATCCTCCCAGGTGACAGTTGGGCTCCTCCCCCACCCTTCCTGAGGTGACAGTTGGGCTCCCCCCATCCTCCCAGGTGACAGTTGGGCTCCTCCCCCACCCTTCCTGAGGTGACAGTTGGGCTCCCCCCATCCTCCCAGGTGACAGTTGGGGAGGGCAACTATGGCATCAATCTTTTAAAGGGGGAACTGGACCCAGGGAGTGACAGACAAGTCAATCTCACTTCCTTACTTAGAGAGCTACGGGAACAGATTATTAGACAATCAGACAGTAAGCACAAGGAATAGCCAGCATGGACTAGCCAAGAACAAATCATGCCAAACCAATTTAACTTCCTTCCTTGACAGAGTTATACTGCCTTAAGGATAGCAGGGAAACAGCGGACAGGATCTAGATTTTAGTAAAGCTTCTGACACAGTCCCTTATGGTACTCTCGTAGTAAGAAAATGGAAATGTGGTGAAGATTAATTTTTTTTAAAATGCACGCACAAGTGGTTTCAGGCCCGGCCCTACTATGAGGAAAACTGAAGCAGCCACCTCAGGTATCAGACTGTGGGGGAGCGCCACTAGGACCCAGAGTGTAAAAAGTTGTGTCCGCTGCTGGTGCATGAGAACAAAAATAACATTGTGTGAGCAGGTTCTTCAATCCACATCACAGCGTATGTCACACCCCACCCCGCTGATAGAGATGTAGCCGTGTTAGTCTGGTGTAACTGAAACAAAATACAGGACTATGTAGCACTTTAAAGACTAACAAGATGGTTTATTAGATGATGAGCTTTCGTGGGCCAGACCCACTTCCTCAGATCAAATAATGGAAGAAAATAGTCACAACCATATATACCAAAGGATACAATTTTAAAAAAATGAACACACATGAAAAGGACAAATCACATTACAGAACAGAAGGGGGATGTGGGGGGGGGGAATACCATTCAGAAAGCTGTTAGCACTTTCAGTAATAAAGGTGCCTGAACTTGCACTTTATGCTAATGAAGCCCGGGAAATTCAAATCCCGGGCTTCATTAGCAAGTTCGGTATGCATACATTACCCCCCTAGTTCGAACTAGAGGGGTAGTGTAGACATACCCTCACACCTACATAAAGGGCACCTGCACATTTGAGGCACCCCTGGGTCTTAATGTCCACCCCTTAGCTCTTCCTATTCCCTTTCTGTTTCCTCTGGAGAGCAGCTAGATAACTGAATCTGGAACAGCCTGAGACAGGTCTCAGCTGACAATGTACGTGAGAAAGAGCCAGGGAAGTGGTAATGTACCATTCAACGGGCATCTGCCAACCCCAGGGCTGAACTGTCCATTTCTGAATTTACCTGGTGAGTCCTCAGAGCCTTAGTTTTAAATTGGCTTTAAAAATATTTCATTAGAGTGCGGCTGATTCTAAAACTACAGCTCTAGAAAGTCTTGTCTCTTCCCTGGCTGCCACCGGCGCACCCATTTCATAGTCCTGCATAGGGCCCAGTCATCCCTGCCTGGGCAGCTGGTCTGCAGAGCTGACTCCATGCCAGCATAACATGCGCTCAGTCACCATCCCAGGACAATCCGCTTTTGCATCAGTTGCACTGAAAAGTTGCTCTGGTTTATGATCCCGTCGGATTTCCCATGCGGCGCTCGGCTCTTTGGCTTCCCCCAGAGGTGTTAATGCCTGTTCGCAAGATGCCCACGTGATTCTTTGGCCTTACCCGCTGGTTTAGTCCCACTGATTCCAGCTCCCACCTGCTCAGAGGTCACTTCCGGATGCTCTTTCCCAGCTGCCTTGTGTCCTTCCCCATCCAGCAGGGCCCTGGTGCCCGTCACTCAGCAGGGACAGCAGCCTCCTCGGGAGCTCAGAATGGGAAGCAGGATCCAGTCACGGCAAGGCAGGCAGAAGCGGCTGGAGCTGGGTGTCGAGGATGGAGTGAAGGACACTAAGCAGGTGGGGAAGCCAGTGGAGTCCCATGGTTGCTGTTCTCTGGGGGTAACATTCATCTCTGGGCAGAGGGTCCCTGGCCACATTTATTCTAGAGAGTGAATTTCCCCCTGGGGGAGCTGGGTCCTTCTCACCAGGGACTGGAGACCAGGGTGGAGACAAAAGGTTCAAGCTCCTCCAACATCCCAGGCCCCACAATCACCCAGTGACCTTTCCCCCTGGCCTGGCTGTGCCTGTAGCCAGCGGCTGTCTGGGTGAGGTGAGGGGAGACTCAGACACGTACTCAAGTCCCTTCCATTCTCAGTCCTACAGCCCTAAATAGAGATGCTGCGGTTGCAGCGGGGAAGGGGGCAGAGCGGGGCAGGAAATGGGGAGCAGTGATGAACATCTGACACCTGAGGAGGGGACAGAGCAGGTCAGAGAGGCAGTGGTGCTCTCTGCTGCCTGACCCCTACAGACTCCTGGGGGCCTGGGAGCAGGAGGAGGGGCTGCCTGGAGCATCCAGCCCTGGGGATCAGACGGATCGGTGCAGAGAGACCCCAGAGCTGCTCATGTCCTGAACCTGGGCAGAGCAGAGGGGGCAGCAGGGGTTTGGGTGCGACTAAGGTTTGTCCCCATCAGAAACCATCAGGAGGCGACGCTGGGGGGCTGTTTTCATCCCGATCTGCTTCCCCCACTGCCCCGATGCTCCTGTCTCTGTGCCTCTTGCTGCCCGGTGAGTACGTGGGAATCTGCGCTAATTCGTAGCAGGCTGGGAGGACACAGAACCGAGAGCAGCCCCAGGCCCAGGCAGTCGGCTGATCCCCTGAAGCGGCAGAGAGGGCTGCTGTGTTCAGGGCAGGCACCGGGGAGGATGCTCCTGGGGTGTCAGCGCAGCCTGAAGGCAGAGAGCAGGGAGGCCTTTGCCATTGGAGGGTGGGGAGTTATCGGGGTCCACCCCCAGGGCTCCCTGTTACTGATGAGAGGAGTTGGGATCAAGGGCTCTACTCTGGGCCTGTCTTTTAAACTTCTGTATCAGATCTGGGCCGTGTCCCTCTGTCTGTCTCTATCGCGTTCCCTGCTGCAGGCTCCACTGGGGAGGTGAGCTCGGCTGACTGGGCCGGGGATGAAGGCAGCTGCTGCTGGGCTGTGACAAGAGCCCTGGGCAGAGATACGCAGGGCTAATCCCCTGGGCCATGAGAACCCTCCAAGCCACCCCCATGGGAGTCACTGGCCATGAGGGGTTCTGGGGGGAGCAGAGCCCCCATCAGCTGCTCAGGGCATCTCACTGCAGGGGAGATTTCAGCCCAGCACTGACCCCACGTCCCCTTTCTGTTCCCAGCGCTGAGCCCCAGCAGCCAGGAGATCTGCTCAGCTCCCGGTGAGTCCCTCTGTCGGTCTGTCTGTCTGTCCCCAATGTCCCCAGGGCCCTTACCCCCCCCACCTTGGGGCCCTGCTCTGCTCTGTACTGTTCTAGCAGCAATGGCAAGGGAAGGCGGGCAGTATCCAAGCACGCTATGCAAGTTGGCCTGCTGACTCCTCCCAGACCTGATGCCTCTCTGCTGTGACCCAGGCACAGTGTGAAATGCAGATGGAGAGTCACATCCTCTGCCCTTCCTGGTGTCTGAGCCAAATCCATCCTGGGGGCAACCTGCTTGGGCGGGGTTTGAGTCCAGAACCCTGAGCTGGGATGTGGCTTTTTGATGGTGGCCACTGTTCTTTGCTGGCTGGCTGGGTAGGAGGGGCATGGGGTGCTGCCAGCCAAGGCACCGACGGATGCTGCTGCTGGGGGAGGGGTTGAGGCACAGAGACTGACCTGCCCAGCAGCAGCAATTCAGAGCTGGGTCCCATCCCTCTAGTGATTCCTGGGAAAGGGGGGATCTGCTCCCTGGCACAGGTACAGGGACTTCCCTTAGTCTAGGCCTGAATAGCTCTTAAGGATGATAAAATGAGATTATCTGCCTTAAAGCCGGTTCCCCCCAGCACTGGCTCCTGCTCCCTGCTCTTGCTGCCTTGCTCTGACAGACGCAGCAGGGGGGCGGGAGGGGGGCGGGAGTGACTAGTTGACAGGTCACTTACATCTCTAATAGCCCCCAGTGCATCCTGTGCCATCTGGGAAGGGGGGGGGGGGGGAAGGGCAGGAAGGATTTTAAAGCAGATCTCAAAGGGTTAGGACTGGACAGAGTTCCCGACCTATTGCCTGGCAACCCCCCGCAACAGCAACTGGCCTTCACCAGGAGTTGGTCGTGCCCTAGACGTCTCCCAATAACACAATCCAGGGCCAGATTAAGAAGGAGACTTTAGGGGCTACAGACCAGGGCATCTGCTAACGGGGGCCCGCAAAAAGATCTCCAGGCCACCAAAAGGGCAGGTTTTTTTTTTGCAGGGCTCCCTTCGCCCAGGGCCCTGGGCTGCAGCCATCCCAATGTTTATTAACCCTGGGTCTTGAGAAGAATTAATCTGGCCCAGGCCAGGGGCTGGCCTAGCAGTAGGATCATCTCTCTCCCAACAGGCCTGGAATCAGAGCCCCCTTCCAAGAGGTGGCATGTTCACACCTGCCATTTTCCTCCCGTCCCATGGTCGGCCGTTCCCCATTCTGCTCCCCAGGTGCTCTCCCTGCCCCCACCCTCCACTTCAGCCAGATGTCAGCCCGGCCAGGGGACTCCGTGCGGCTCCAGTGCTCTGTGATCATACAGGCCCCATCAGCCCGCATCGTCTTCTGTGAGGATGGGAAGGAGGTTTCATCCCAGAGGGGTTTGTTGGGGAAACTCACCTACGACTCTCACCCTGTGGTGTCCGGGAGCAGCTCACCAGCTTACTCCTGCGGGTACGAGATCAAGGACAGTGACAACCGGGTGAACAGATCCCAGCTCAGCCCTGCCCAGCGCCTCAGAGTCACCGGTAAGTCCAGCTCATCCATGCCCAGCAACTCAGCACCCCAAAAAGGAGAATGGGGTGAATGGCAAAGCAAGGCCAAGGGTTTCCGAAAGGCTACAGCCAAAAGGGACCATTGGATCACCCAGCTGAGCTCCCATTCAGCCCGGGCCAGGGAGCCGTGTCCAGTGACTCTGCATCCAGCGCCGCAGGGGCAGGTGGAGCTGGGATGTGGCTCTTGGTCACGGCCACAGTTGTTTGCAGGCTGAGCAGCAGGGACAGGTGATGCTGCTGGACAACGCACCCGCAGGGGGCACCGCTGGATGAGGAAGGTGACAGGCAGATATTGACCTACCCAGAAGAAGCAGTTCCCCTGGGAGACCTTATCTGGGTCCAAGGTTATTTGTGGAAAGCGGATCTGCTCCCTGCTGCTCCTGCGGGATCTTCCCTTAACTTGGGCCTGGAATTGCCTGTGCCAACTGGGCAATGGGAGGGGTAGAAGTGCAGGGAGGATGTTAGAACAGACACCAGAGGGCTTAGGGACTGGGCACAGCTGCTTGGCTGTCAGCTGCCAAGTTCCTTGGGGCAGCGACTGGCCGTCACCACATGGGCTGCAGAGGAGGCTGAAGTGCTGCCTGGGTCCTAGACAGCTCCCATTGGCTGGGGCTGTCTCTCTCCCAGTCGTACAGTCCCAGCTGGGTCAGTGACCCCAGGGCCCATTGTAGGACACTGCGCAGCACCAGGCCCTGGGAGCCCAGCACACCCAGCCCTAAGGCTCTTCTGCAGACCCAGTGATACCAGGGAATGAAGCTCTGGAGAGAGCTCATCCCCCCACTGCCCAGCTGGCCGGGGATCAGAGCCTCCATCAGAGACACGGCCCAGCCCCCTGCCATTTACCTCCTGCCCCACTGACAGCACCAGGCACCAGCAACACCCCACTGACAGCTTTGACCCCTTCTCTTGGCCAGGTGCTATCCCTGCCCCCACCCTCTTCCTGAACCAGACGTCGGCCCGGCCAGGGGACTCTGTGTGGCTCCAGTGCTCCCTGTTCTCCTGGGCCGGGGCCACTCGTATCGTCTTCTACAAGGACGGGGAGGAGGTTTCATCCCAGAGGAGCTTATTGGGGAAACTCACCTACGACTATGACCACGCGGTGTCTGGGAATAGCTCTGGGAATTTTGCCTGCGGGTACGAGATCAAGGACAGCGACAGCAGGGTGACCAGATCCCAGCTCAGCCCTGCCCAGCACCTCAGTGTCACTGGTAAAGCGCATGTGTGTGTCTGTCTCTCAGCTCAGCTCTGCTCAGCCACTGTGCATCATGGGAAAGGAGGTGAACAGACAACAATTCAATAACAACCCTCTGAAAATTCAAACACTGAAATTCATCACTTTTCAAAAAGTAAAATGAAAAATTTCTAGCATAACATCAGGTCATCAATCCACCCATCAATCCTCTGTCACCTATTCCCAACTTCTGACAAACAGAGGCTAGGGACACCATTCCTTCCCATCTTGGCGAATAGTCATTGATGGACCTATTCCCCATAAATTTACCTAGGGTTTTTTTTTTTCATTGCTGGATTTCACACATACAAAGAGTTCCACAGGTTGACTGTGCTGTGTGAAAGAAATACTTCCTTTTGCTTGTTTTCAACCTGCTGCATATTAATTTCACTTGGTTCTTGTGTTATGAGAAGGAGTAATAACTCTTCTTTATTCATGTTTTCTACACCAAACATGATTTTATAGACCTCTATCATATTCCCTCTTAGTCTACTCTTTTCTAAGCCGAAAAGTCCCAGTTTTATTAATCTCTCCTCAGATAGCAGCCTTTCCATAATCCTAATCATTTCTGTTGCCTTTTTCTGTACTTTTTCCAATGCCAGGATATCTTTTTTGACATCAGGTGACCACATCTTCACGCAGTATTCAAGATGAGGGAGTACCAGGAATTTATATAGAGACATTAAGATATTCTCTGTCTTATTCTCTATCCCTTTTTTAATTGTTCCTAACATTCTGTTTGCTTTTTTAACTGTTGCTGCACACTGAGTGGATGTTTTCAGAGAACTATCCTCAATGACTTCAAGATCTCTCTCTTGAGTGCTAAGAGCTATTTTATTCCCCATCATTTAGTATGTACAGTTGGGATTATTTTTTCCAATATGCATTATGTTGCATTTGTCAACATTGAAATTCATCTCCCATTTTGTTGTCCAGTCACCTAATTTAGTGAGATCTTTTTGAAGCTCTTCAAAGAACGCTTTGGTCTTAACTATCGTGAGCATTTTTGTATCATCTGCAATTTTTTCCACCTCACTGTTTATCCTTTTTCCAGATCATTTATAAATAGTTTGAATAGGATTAGTCCCAGGACAGACCCTTGGGAGACCCCACTAGTTACCTCTCTCCATTCAGAAAACTTAACATTTATTCCTACCCTTTGTTCCCTGTCTTGTAACCAGTTATCAATCTGTGAAAGAACCTTGCCTCTTATCTCATCAGAACTTACTTTACTTAAGAGTCTTTGGTGAGAGACTTTATCCCAGGCTTTCTGGAAATTTAAGTACATTATATTCACTGGTTCCCCCTTGTCCATATGCTTGTTGAAACCCTGAAAGAATTCTAGTAGAGTAGTGAGGCATGATTTCCTATTTCAGAAACCATATTGAACTTTCCACCAATACATTATGTTCATCTAGGGTTAGGGCTAGCCAACACTCTTTTATCGGAACCGATTGCTTTTCCGGAAGAGGCTTTTCCGCCATTTGGTTCCGTCTAGATGGCGTCAAATGGTGGAAAAGCCTCCTCTTTTGGAGGAGTTCTTATTCTTCATAGAACGAGATATACAGGGCTCCCCAAAAGAGCGCATCTGCTCTTCTGCAAAAAAAAGCAGAAGAGCAAACGCATTTCCTGGATGTGGCAGAGTTTTTTCGGGATACCTCCTTTCTATTTTCCTCACTAGGATTTAATTTCCACTATTTAAGCAATGCCTTTTTATCTCTCACTGCTTCTTTGTTGTTAAGTCAGGATGGCACTTTTTGTTGTTCTCTTATTATGTTTTTAGTTTCAGGTATACATTTAAGTTGAGCCTCTGTTATTGTGTCTGAAAAGTTTCCATGCATCTTGAACGAATTTTACTTTTGCTTTTACTTTTAATTTTGCTTTAACTAACCTCCTCAGGAGATCCCCTTTCTGAAATTAAATGCCACAGGGTTGGGCTGCTGAGGTGTTTTTCCAATCATAGGGAAGTTACATTTACATTTAATTATATTATGGTCACTATTTCCAAGCTGTCCAGCTGTAACCATTTCTTGGACCAGATCCTGTGCTTCACTTGGGCTTGTCTACATTACGAAAAAGATCGGTGCTGCCTCAGTCAATCTTCTGGGGTTCGAATTAGCGGATCTTGCGAAGATCTGCTAATTCGAAGCAAGAGGGCTCTCCCGTTGGCACTGGTACTCCTGCTCTTCACGAGGAATAAGGGAAGTCAACAGGAGTGTATACTCTTGTCAACCTCCTACTGTGTGAATAGCTCCAAAATGTGATTTAAGATACTTTTGACTCTAGCCACGTAATTAACGTCACTGGAGTTGCATATCTTCAGTCAACTTTCCCCTTTAGGGTAGACCATGCCCTTAAGCCCAAATCATGAATTGTCTTTCCTCATGTGGGTTTCAGAATTAATTGCTCCAAGAAGCAGCCATTTAAGGTGTCAAGAAACTTTATCTCTGAATCCCACCCATCCTGAGGTGATACGTACCCAGTTAATATGGGAATAGTTGAAATCCCCAATTATTATTGAGGTTTTTATTTTAATAGCCTCTCTTATCTCCCTTAGCATTTCACAGTCACTATCCCTGGCCTGGTCAGGAGGTCGGTGATGTATCCCTAGTGCTATGTTCTTATTAGTAGAGCCTGGAATTGCCATCCACAGAGATTCTATGGAACAGTTTGGCTCATTTCAGATTTGTATTTCATTTGAGTCTACGCTTCCTTTCACATATAGTGCCCCTCCCCTGCCAGCAGGGCCTGCTCTGTCCTTCCAATAGATGGGTATACATTTTTGTTCAAAATTTGTCCCAGGAAGCCTCTACCTGCTATTTTCCAGCCTTTAGACGGCCCAAGCCAGTTAAGTGCGGGAGGGGCACACCATAGAAGGGCCCCACTGGAAGGGACCCCAAGATGTCGTTAGGTCCAACCCCTGCTCTGAGGTCGAACCAAGCAAACCTGGACCAGTCCTGACAGGGGGTTAGTCCAACTGGTCCTTGATACCCTCTGCAGATGGAGACACCTGAGCCTCCCCGGGAAGCTGTTCCAGTAAGAAATGACCATTATGGCTAGAAAGTTGATCCCAATATCTCGCCTAAACTCCCCTGGCTGCAGCTGGTGCCCAGGCCTCGTGCTGCCCTCTGCCCAGGGCGGAGTTGCCCCTGTGTGAGCTGCCAGCCACGCTGGGGAGGGGTTACAGGGTCTGGGCTGCTCTGTCTGTCACTGGCTCCTGAGCAAACTGTGGCAAGAGTCTCCCTGTGCTGGACAAGAGTCTCCCCAACGGCCTCCATCACTTAGGTCTCCCATCAGGGGAACGTGCCCCCTGCAGCATAATCCCCCCCCCCATAGAGTGAGCCTCTGGGAGCTCACACAGGGTCCCTGTTACACAGCAGCTGCTCTGGGTCTAGAGCTGGCACATGCTGCTCTGCACACGGCCCTCACCACGTCCCTTTCCATTTGCAGGGCCGGCCTCATCCATCACCATCTGGGCTGCCCACTGTGTCCTGGTCCTGCTGCTCCTGGTCTCTGCACCCATCATCACCTTTGTGCTGGAGAAACGGGGCCTGCCCCAGCCTGGGGGGCAACAGCACCTCATGAGTGGGAGAGGGGCTGGGAGTGGGAAACCCCATTGAAAAGCCATGGGTTGGGCAGATACCAGTGCTCAGCTCTGAGCAGGGTGTTGAGGAGACGCCACAGGTCAGTGCTGCCCAATAGGGCCCTGCAGTGACAATCTTTGCCCAGGTAACTCCTCCAGCCTCCTTCTGTCCCCTTCCTGCTTCCCTAATCCGGACACTGTCAGTCGCTCTGCTCTGCAGCCCTTGGCTCACTCCCAGCTAAGCCCAGGCCATGCGGAGCTCTGTCAGAGCTGAGCCCTGCCATGAACTGCCCCTGCCAGACAGCCCAGCGTGTCACCCAGACCTGGATGTTTTTCTCTCACTGCACCCTCACCGAAGTTCTCACACTCGCTACACCCGGGTGTCAGGAGACACACCCGCCGGGGTGCGGGCTGACGTCCCACGGCAGCCTGATACTCGGCTCCAGGAAGGGCTCCTCAGAAAACAAAATTATCCCAAAGATTCCAGGTGTGAAGTGGCTTAAACCTGCTTTCTAGCTCTCAGCCCAGGGCCCAGTGTCTCTGTCCCCGGGTGTCCATCCAGAGCTGGACACCTCAAACATCCCTCAGCTCTGCCCCTGGATGCACTGCTGTTCAGATTCTTCTTGTTCTTCCCTGAACCCTGTTGTGCGCAGACAGACCTTCCCCTGTTTTCGTAAAGCTCGTGGACCTTCACTCTCCCTTGTCAGTGGCTTCCGTCCTTGTGGGTTACACTGTGGCTGTGTCTACACTGGCCACTTATTCCGGAAAATCAGCCGCTTTTCTGGAATAACTTGCCAGCTGTTTACACTGGCCCCCTGAATTTCTGGAAAAGCACTGACGATCTACTGTAAAATCATCAGTGCTTTCCCGGAAAAACTATGCTGCTCCCGTTTGGGCAAAAGTCCTTTTCCAGAAAACTGTTCCAGAAAAGGGCCAGTGTAGACAGCACAGATTTCTTTTCCGCAAAAAAGCCCCGATCGCAAAAATGCTTTTCCGGAAAAGCATCCTGCCAATGTAGACACGCTTTTTCCGGAAATACTTATAACGGAAAACTGTTCTGTTTTAAGCATTTCCGAAAAATGGTGCCAGTGTAGACGTAGCCTGTGGGTTACACTGTGACTCCACACACTGCTTAACTCTGTCAAAGTCGGGTTTCCTTCCGCCTGTCTGGGAGAAAATCCGTTCTCCCTCAGCTTGGTGACAGCCCTCAAAACCCAGCGTCAGTGAGTCTGTAATTCCCTCTCTAGGGTATAAAGGGTTAATATTAACACAAGCCTTGTACAACTTTAATTGACTGAACAGTAACACTGACTGATGCAATTGCTTATGCTACAGGACTCCCTGTTCTCCCCGTGGGGTGTTGGGACCCTGGTTGTTACAGTCAGCCCAGCTCCCACCTTCTTCTGCATGAAGAATTCCTCTTCCAAGAATTGGCACATGTGAAGGAAGGTGGACTTCTGGTTAAGGCACCAGGGTGGATCTTCTGGGAGACTGAGATTCTAGTCCCAGCCCTTTTCAGAGTCCTCGGGCCTGTCACCTCTTCTCCCTGGGCCTCAGCTCCCTTCTGTGAAATGGGCTAA